TCCTTCCAGTTCCTGTCTTCAGCTCACACAGGCAGACACAGCCCATGATCAAATAAGAGCAATGGCATTCTGGCCCCTGATTAAAGAGCAAAGCAGGACTGTGCTGGGTCAGATGAAAGGTCCAATTAGCCCAGGATCCTGCCCCAGACAGCAGCAGCCATAAGAAAAGCATATGCCTGCCCTTTTCATCCAGCAGTCCTTCCCCGGGACACCTTCTTCCTCCTGCTATCTATAGCAGAGGCACTTCCTGAGCCAGAAATTTTATCTTTAGGATTAGCAGACCTTGAAGACTTTTTCCTCTCCAAATTTGTTTGTGCTCTTTCTGAGGCCAGGGAAACTTTTGTAACTGCAAACTACTGTGGTAATGGATTATAAAGTTCTGTGTAAACAATGCAAGAAAAAGCCCTTTGGTTTGCTCTGAGTGTGCCACCTGCTAGTTTTGTTTGATGTGTCTGAGTTCCTGAGCTAGAGGAGACATTAAGCAATTGCTCTGTATTTACCTTCTCCATGCAGTCACGACTCCATGGCATTCTCAATCCCCAGAGGGCTCACTGCAGCTCTCCACAGACCACGGGTGATGAGCTGAATTCGTAATCTCAACATGGTCAGATAAGTCAAAAAGCATTTTTCTGCTCTCTGACTGTTCATGGATGTGGCAGTAACAAGTACCATAACACAGTGCAGTAGTAAGCACTAATAAGCAGCCACGAACGATCCCAAAACCACTTCAGAGTAGAGATATAGCTCAAAAACAACATGTTGGTGTCAACTGAGAGGTGCTGCTCTGGAGCATGGAGGTGGCTATGGAAGGCCAGGGATTTCCAGCTTCAGGCAGTTCCCAAAACACTGGCCTCCAGGAGCTCCTCACAACTATATGCTTGGAGAAGACTTAGGGCTCATCTTGGCTTTCCTTGGGAGGAAGATCCAGGCCCCCCCCTGGTAGCAGGCACAAGGATCATGCCCAGCACACCTCGTGTCCTCCCCAGCCTGTAACTCTGCCACACAGAGGAAACACGCTCAGCTCCCTCTGCTCCAGAGCTCACCCAGCCCTGGGAACAGCAGGAAACAGCTGCAGAGAGGAGCTCTCAGGAAAAAGGAAAACTGAGCAAAGGGCCACGGGAAGACACAAAAACAGATGAGAAGACACAGGCTACTGGGGAAACCCAAGGGCTCCAATTTCCTCAGGAGCTCTCCCAGCCCCGCTGGGACTGAGCCATCACTCCAAAAGTGGGGTCTGATCCTGCATCCATTAGTGCCAAATTCCCAGCCACATTAGGAGCTCAGGATTAAACTCCTGATGCTCGTGAACATCACAGGTGCTCTCACAGGTTGGCAGCATTTTGAACCTTTGCCATAACCTACAACTTGTCAAGCAGAGGAAATGTTGATCAGTTTATGTCAAGACATAATTCTCACACAGGAAAACCTACAGAATAAGGGGGGTATATAGAGCACCCTTTCCTCTCCACATCCTGGAAAGGGCAATGGATACAATCCACGCACACCAAGCTCTTTAGATCCATTCCCTGACGTGACGCTGCTCCCCCAGAGGCTGTGCTAATGATCTGGCAGCCAGACATGTCCCAAATGACACTGCAGGATGCCTGGAGCTCTGAAAGAAGACACTATCTTGTTTACATTGACTGAGGGGGAAAAATGCCATCTGATTATTACATAAATTCTGGCTGTAGCAGCTTCATGACTAGTTGAAAGGAGGTAACAGGCTCCAAAATGACTGATGGATCCAAGTGTTTGGATCCACCAGCTTATTAATCTAATGCTGAGGAAGATCTTTCTTATCCCTGTGTCTCTATCACTTTAACCTACCCCATGATGGACAAAAAGAACAATCTCTGTTCTTTCCCTGAAAAATTGAGACAGATTCCTGTACTGTGACGTTTGTATTTCTTTCATTCCCTTTTATGCTATAACAGAAATGAAGAAACAAAGAAAAAACTCCAAACAATCAACAAAACATGCCAGAAAAAAAGAAGCCTAAAATAAACACAGCTCCAGCACAAAAATGTTAATTTGCAAAGTATCTGTTTAAGTTGTAACATGGGAGTAGATACAATTCAAAAGGCACAATTACAGTTCATGTAACAGCTTTAAACTGCATTCCTGGAGCAAACCAGCCTCAGACCAGGAGCTTCCGTGCAGGATTACATGGAAATCTGGGCAAATACAGCCATTATACTACTGTAGATACTGAATTAGCCAACTTATGTTAATGCTGATATTCTTACTTTAATCCCATCTTTAGATTCCAGTGCTACATCATGGTTGAATCTGGCACTAGCCCTGTGATTACGTACCAGCAGATCAGTATAAAAATAATTTGTTCTGAGTTCACAGTTTTATGAAATGACAAAACATCAAAATTAGCATTCTGGCTGAAATCCACTGCATTTCCCATCAAGGCTTACACTTCTAAGCAACATCTGAACCAACTGCCTATAATTACTCCTGGCAGATACTGGAGCACTTAGGCCAGCAGTAGATGCAACAGTGAAATAAATTTTTAAAGACATGCTGCAAACCACTTCTTTCAGGATGCTCAGCCCAGAAGCAAACATGTGTCTATAAGCCGAATCCACAGTTTATTACACAGTATTTGTTCACTCTTGCATAGCAAAAGCCTGGGAAGAGTGAAAGCCCCAAGTAATTCATCAGTTTAAAATTAAACATTTATTTGGGCTGCAATTCCAAAATCACTAGCCCTGAAGTTCCTGTCACAACTACTTAAGAGGAATTGAGGTTGCATATTAGCTTAGGTTAAAAGAAACACTAATTCTGCAGAAAAATCTGTTGTTTAAACAGACCATACATGTTAACTTGTCTACATCCCCTTCTTTTCTACAGGGAAAGAAGAATCACACCTGTCTCTCTGAAGCAGTGAGTTCTCCCCACATACACAGCTGGGGAGTTTAGTTGGTTGGTTTGGTTTTACCAGTGCAAAATCTGCCTTCTTAATGAGCCCACCAGTTTCTTAACACCAAACTTTTACAAAGCCAAGCCTGAAAGGATATCAGGCCTACACCACTCTGTAAATTCCCTTCAATGACTTTCCCAAAACAGCTCAGAAGTCCAGAGCTGGAAAGCTCCCTTGCCTCAAACAGCTGAAGGTCACAAATTCTCAGACTTTATGAACAGCCTGACTACTTTCCCTTTCACACATGGAAATGCAGAGGGGAAGCTGAAGGCAGCTCAAGACACCTTTCAAATGAAGTTCATTTCCACCAAGGCTGTGCCACTTCTGTTGATTTTGCACATCAGGCTGTTCCAGTAGCAGGTACCAGGGAAAAATGTCGAGTCACTAGAAAAGCCCAAGATACAAAACAGGAACACACAGGAGAGCCGTTCTGATCCCCTCCTGTAAATCTACAAGTTCTTAGGAAACAGAACAACCTCTAACAGAATCAAAGGAATGTTTGAAAGAAGGATGACTTATGGAAAGAGAGAAAACAGGGTTATTAAGTAGTACAAGAAACAAAATGGATAAGAGTCCTTATTTGGGAAGAGAATTTTTTCAAAAGAATCAACATTTTAAAATGGTAATTTAGCTGAGAAACACAGAATGGAGTAACAGAAGTGGCTAAGAATACACATAAAATCTTCCCAGCGTAGAACTACTTTGTTTAGTCTCTTCTGGCACTATAAATTTATTTCTTCCATGATTCTTAAAGCTGGGAACAACTGTCCCTGCAAGCACCCAATTCCCCCCGTATTCCTCTTTCCTCCTCCTATCCCAGACACACATCCAAGGGAAAAAAAGTGACTTTTTTTTACTATACGCTCGTACACATTCCTGAAGGAAAGGGGACCATTAACATTACAGACCCTTTATATGTCAATGTTTTTGTACTATATTTAAGTACATTTAGAAAAAAGTTAATTCGAGCTAATTAAGCAAATAGTCTTCCAAGATGAGGGAATATATGAGGATTAAAAAAGACAAGACCACCTTCACAGCAGTGTGGTTGCTTATTACTTTCTAAAAACCTCAGAGATGACTGAACCAGCTCCTCTCCTTCCCTGGAATTTGTTTCCTAAGTGTTCTCCAGACAAGAGACACTGGTGCTAAATTTATTAAACTTCCTAACAAATCCCAGGCTCCTCAGCAGAGAAAGAATCTGCAAGGTCAGTGCAGAGCCCGTCACCAAGAGAGGAACACAGCTGTGACGGGACACTCTGGAATCAAGCACAAGCAAATTTCAGCAGGTTACTGGGATGGGCTCCCTGCCAATCCATGAGCTGTACGGGAAGGCAGGAACAAATGCCATGGGAAGGAGACAAGGCTGTGAAGGTGCAAGAAAGCAGAGCTGCATGAGGATGGAACAGGCAGCGGTGGAAACGGGACACCAGAGATACCAGACTGGAAACTGCATTTATGGAGTCTCACGGGGATCCGGAGGATTAGGCCAATGTATGAGTGACCATCCCACCTGCCCACCAGGTCATCCCAGCGCTGCCATCTGAGGGAAGGCGGCGGGGAAATGGTGATCCAGCACCTCAGGAGGAGGCACTGGGACCATCTGTGTGCCCAGCCCAGCCCAGGGAAGCCTCAAATGTCTCCCCGGCAGTGGGGGCTGTGAAGGGCAGCCCCATTCCCACTAAATGTAGGAGTTATACATGTAAATCCTATGATGCCACACGAGCTCCACGAAAACCAGGCTGCGAACCAGAGCGATTTGGAGCGATTAAATCGCTCAGCCCACGCACGGCCGGGGCGCCGTGGGGCCCGAGGCTGCGTGAGCGGCTCCCTGGGGAAGGAGGCGGGGCTGGTGATTAAACAACAACACGAACGCGAGACCTCAGTTTAGCAGCAGGATCCGAGCCCTCGAGGAGGGGGATGGATTTAGAGAAGGGACAAAGTCAGCGACAAGGACAAGGACAGGGCAGGGACGGGACCCGCCGCCGCGCTGAGGCAGCGCGCGCTCCCCTCTCGGCCGCGCTGAGGGGCCGGGGGCCGCCGTGCCCTGGCGAGCGCCGTCACTTACTTGTCCACCCTGACACTACCCGGGCCGCGCACACCCTGAGCAGGGACGTTCCCTGAAACCCGCCGCTGCCGGGAAACCCGCTGGGCTCCCCCTTCCCGGGCCGGCCGCGCCTGCGCCGGGAAGAGAAGGGAAGGGGAGGGAAGGAGAGGCGGGAGCTGCCTCGCAGGGTTCCTCCGGTGCTGAGGGACATCGGCTCGGAAGGGAGGGAATCGCCTGTGTTTAAAAGCGAATAAAGCACAAAGAAGGCGTGGGGTTGTCTTGGTTTGCTAAAGGCGTTGGTATATCGTATTTCTCAGCCCCGTTGCCCTCATAAAGACTGCAAAATACAGGCGGTCAGAGAAGCGTTGGAGCAGTGCAAGAAGCCACGTGGTGAGCCCCGGGAAAGAGATACACAATACAGAAAAATAAATAAATATACAAGAGTAAATATAATAATAAATATATGTAAATATGGGAGAGTATATATAAATACATATAATATTAAATAAGCAGGAGGGAATATCAGGGCTAAGGACATCCACCACCCTCTGATCCATAAATATGTAATTGCTTCTTAAATAAATAAAGCAGGGCTGTGAGCCGTGAGTGTGATGTTCTGCACGGAGTTACTCTGAGAGTTTTACCTGAAAGGCTGGGAAACTGCTGATGTGAGGAATAAACCCTGAGTTTAGTTAAGGTTTGCTTAAAATGGAGGGAAGGACGGGGCATTGGGATCTGCTCAAATGCATCCTTGGGAAACAGAGATCACAGAATCAATTAGGTTGGGAAAGATCTCTGAGATCATTGAGTCTAACCCATGGCACAGCTGTGGCTGCACAGTGCAGATCCCACCACATCCCTCCATGACCTTCCACAACCCATGAAGGGAGGAGCGGATGGCAGCCCTCACATTCCCATCATGTCCAAACACTTCTGGCCCCAGGAAGCCACCAGGGATTTTTCCCGTTATCCCCTAAATATTCTACAGCAGGAAATCTTGCAGTAAAAAAGCTGTCTTGCAACATTTCCAGAGTATTCCCACTTCAGCCCAGGCAGAAATGCTGCAGGAACAACCTTGCTCAGGGAAGGATGAGTGTTGTCTCGTGGTCAGAGCACAGGGTTCGTGGTCAGGAGCTGTGGGTTCTCATTCCAGCTTTACCACTGAATCATTTTGAGAGCCTCGCTAGTCACTTTGTACTACAAACAGTTAGTAATTTTCCGTTGGAATGATTTTCTGATGGAAAACACTGCTACAAAACTGAAATCTGGGTGAAAATCCGTTTTCCCATTGGGAATACCTTGCATGGAGGTGGGGCAGGGAAGGACATTTGACCAAATGGAGGTTTTCTTGCATTAATTCAAATGTTTTGCTTTGAATAGATAGATTTAAAAAAAAAATCTCTCTATTGACTGTAATTCCAAATCAGCTCGTGGCACGGTGAGAGCGTGTGCTCTCATGCTCTGCTTTGCTCCAAGACAGGTCTGCACTTTTGTAATAGGATTCAAATGTCTCTTTTCTGAGACACATCTATCCCCATCTGAGTCCAGCCTGACCCATGGGGACAAATCCCAGCATAGGGCCACCACTCTGACCAGGGAAGTGCTCCATGGAGAGAAAGTGCAGGACTCAGAGACACAAACAAGCTGTTTCACATTAGTTCAGTGACCTAAAACAAAGCGCCGTGGCTGTGGAGATACCCAAATGTTTTGTTCAACTGAAAAACAGTAAAACGAAGCCCAGAGAAATGGACCTGAGAGTGCTTCTGTCTCTGACAATCAAATCCTACAACCCTACCATGCGCATGCTGGGCACTTGGTCATAGTTCTGGCTCTTCACCCTCCCAACTATCTCCCTTCTTTGCTGTTTTGTTCCAGAATCCTATTTCTCTGTTCATTAAAACTAAATTTATTTCTGTCCCCTATATATTCATACATTGCCGAACTTTCTTTTAATCTAAATAATACTTGTTGTCCTCCCACAGTGTATTTGTAGACACCATTTAAATCCCTTCTTTTGTTTTGCCAAGTTAAACATTAACCATTTACATTTTCTTTCATAACAGCAATTTTTGCAGTATGTAATAAGCTTTCTCTGCACTTGTTTCAGTCAGAATTCATCTTTTCTGAGCACGAGTCATCAGAGCCTGACATAAAGTGTAATGTTCAAAATGATGGCTTGCTAGAGACTTTTATAGTGGCGATGATAATTCCCCATGCACTCTTTTAGTTACAGTCAGGGATCAATTTTGCCTTTTTTATACCTATATCACATTAGCACCTCGATGTATCCAGGTCTTTTTGCTCCAAGAACTAGCAAAAATAAGTACAGACAAATGTATTAACTTAAGATTTCTAAATACATTTTTTCCATTTCATCTCACTTCCCTAGTACTCACATGATTTCTTTCCAAGGAGGTGACAAATGAAGATATTTCTAAGAAAGTTACAGGATCTCCAGCCCCCAAAATCAAAGCCCCGAAAATGTCTTTTTTTTTTTAATGGAAGAATCAGAGTTTAGATTATTACATATTCTCAAGCCCACATGAGGTTTAATTCATTGCTCCTTTGAAATATTCTGAAAGCCGAGGGTTAAGAGGTGTTGTATTAGTGCAGAATAATGATGATTGATTGATTTGTGCTTGTATCAAATGCAGGAGGAGGAGGAACATGTGTGGTGAATCCTCTATAATTTCAGAATCTTTCTGTAAAGCTGAAAATCCCCTGTAGATGTATGAAATGGAACCCAAGACCACCTTTCCCTGTTTAGAGCGTGGCTGTTGTGGTTTTGCTTCCAAATAACCCCTCTCTTTTTCCATGATTCTGGACAGCTTCACTTAAAACATACTCTTTTGCATTTTCATTACAGAGTAACTGATGAAAATTCCATTTTAAATGGACTTTCTGGGAGACAGGGACATTCTTTTTATCATTATTAACCAAAGCTCATATTTCAAGCTGCAGGGATACAGCTCCAGGTAGTGTAAATCAGCATTGCCCGGGATGGCCCTGAGTCCTCTCAACCAGCCCCTCAGAACAATTTAGTGGTTTTAGATGACAGTTGGCATCTTTGAAATATTCTCTGTTGCAGAACTAGACTAGATGTGACACTTGCTGCAGAAGAAATCTTGCATAAATCTGTCCAAAAAGACTCAATCATATTACTTCACTACTCATGGTAACCTTTGGAGGCCAAAGTCCAGACAGGTTGAGAAATGGAGCATGAGTCCATAAAGGTGACAATTCCATTAACTGCAATCAGAGGAAGAGGTGAATGGTGAGATAAAGACAAATTACTTCTTCTATAAAGAAGAGAAAATATGTGTGTGAAGGGGAAAGAGATGGAAGGAACGTTTTCCAGCTTTGTCAAGGAAATAAAGATTCAGCCCCGCTCTGTTGAGATCAACACAAAAATGTCCCTTGGGCTCTGTGGACCCAAGTTTTGCCCCAACACCCTGGTGAATATCAGTGGGAACCATCACTTTGGGAGTGCAGATGTTCACATGGGAGACACCCCAGCAAAAAACCATGTGCAGAATTCCTCACTGAATTGCCCCCACAGCCATGCTGGCATTGCAAACGCTGGGCCTGGCTTTTCAGTTAACAGGGCATTTTGCAAAAATAACTATGCGGAAAAATTGTTGGCACTTCTGAATCCAGTGGTTTAGGATTCTCAGATACACCAGACAACATCTACCAGCCCAGTGGGTGCATTTCAGCCCCAGGGGCTGAACAGAAATGGCTTTGAGACCTGTATTTGGGCCCCAAATGAAAGAGTGGGACATACTGATTATGTATGACATTTTCAAAGGTTTCTATGCAGAAAACTTCATCTACAACCAATCCATGTACAAACCAAAACAAGGCAAGCAAATCCTTTTACTTCCAGAAGTATCTCTGAGCATCCAAAAATTCCACTTAGGTGTTGATTAGCATAACAATGAAAGGGAAGAAAATATTTATAAAGGTTCTTGTAACACGTGCTCAGGCAGTTCATACAAGCACTTGAGGGTGGGTTTTAATCTCATTTTAAATAAGTATAACAGTGGTATAGGACATAGAAGCTGGAAAATACTCTGGATGAAATGCTCATGGAGCTGTTAGATTAGGACTATTCATTCAAACAGGGAAATAGGGAAGTAAAAACCAACTGAATTTTTCTTAACGATGAGAAGGAATTTTTGAGTGTACCATAGGAACAAAAGGAAATTTCCTTGAGGGGACTTTTTCTGTTTTTAACAGAAATATTAAGTTACCCTCAGATACTTGAGCAGCCAAAAAGGGAAATCCCTGTTTTACGCAGCTCTAAATATAGCTAAAAAAAAAATAACTCAGATTTTATCAATTTGTGACCCATTTGGGCAGCTCACCTTTTAATACCAAAGTCAGAAACTGATACAAACAAACATACAGTATTTCAGGCTCCAAAATTCCAGTGTCTTGCCCACGGCCTGTTCCTGCCTGCCCTCTTGGCTGGACACCAATATCCTTTATTCTCAGGGGAGTCAGCCTTCCAAAAAACCACTTGGCACTCGAGTCAGGGCTGCTCTGTTTTCCTAACGTTCACGGCAGGCAGGATGTTTTCCGACTCTGCTACCCAACAGTTGAGCATTCCAGACAGCACGGGGATTTTTCTTCCAAAACCACACTGCCAATGCTATAAGAATAAGTGAAGTTCTGTGACACCATGTGATCCTGGTGGGAAAATGGGATGACTTTGTTGTCACACAGTGATGCACAAAGGGAAAATGCACAAGGCTCTTGCCACCTTTGTAAATTCTCCTTCTGGGGTGTGAATGCTGAAAAGATGCTGGCCTTAAGTCCTGTTTTCATCTGGAAGGCTGCCAGATCTCCACAGATTAGTTAAGGAGAAGACCCCCCTCCCAAACTGTCTGGCCAGAAAAGCAACCCACTGGTGCAGTGTGGCAGAGGGGATGCTCAGCAGTCTGTGCACACAGTGTTTTCAGCAAGTGAAAATGTTCGGTTTGCTCCACAGAACACACAGTACAGATACCCCTGCAACTTTTTTGTCTATGCCTTTACACTCCTTAAATATTAGAAATATTAATATTATCATTAACATTTATATGGAAGTAATTCCTGAGCTCACTGATGTTGGGCCCACTCTAGCTGTGCAGCCTTTCCTGTGTGGATCAGACACGGCTCAGGTGAGGGCAGGCAGGTGACAACTCACAGCCAGGACTCCTCACTGACCAGGAGCAG